TTAAAACTCATCCTCGTTGCAATCACTCTGTCTCTGTGTCAGTACAGACTACGTCCGGACGTTCACTCTGGACAAGAGACTGGAGATGTACATCAAGAAGACGGCCGGCCGGGTCCTGCCCACCGTGGTCTACCCCGAACTCTACCGCAAGAGATTCTGCGAAGCCATCGACAGATACTTTACCATCGTCCCTGACAAGTGGACAGGCTTAGGGACAGGTTTCTAGCTCTCCAACAATAGTCGTCTACTTGCAAACACATCGATTATGTACACTCACAATACGCATGCACTTTGTTTGTTCTTTTGTGTCCAAAAGCACACGGTATTCAATTGTATATGCACTCTGTGGCTTTTTACTCTGTTTAAAACCTGTGATGTTCACACTGGCAATGGGGGGAATGTAAGTGCGGGACAGAACAAAGTTAGCAAGGTGTCCTTATTTCAGAGGTTGCATGGAAGAAATATTGAGAGGTGTCTGCATTTCAGGGGCAATATTTGCAAAAATGACTTCCTGGGTATATACACATTTTCAATAATCGTCATCGTAACATAATCGTAATTCAGATGACACTGCCAATAACTGATAGACTGAGCTATCATTAATAATAATCATCGAAGTTAAAAAAAATCTGTCACAGTCATGTATGCACGGTACAAAGACACATAAAACAAGAAGGAGAGATCAAACCTCTACACATTCAAAAAAAACTGTAAAAAGAGTTAAAAATGCATCAAAAGGATGCCGATACTATAATTCTCCCACTAAAAAGACACAAGTACGTACAAGAAAGACCTAGAGTATGGACAGACGCTACATCAAGACGGCCACTTGCCTCGATGCAATGGGTTCGGAACTAGCCGACTTCTTCAGGTTGTGTTTGTGATCAAAGTCATACGTTTCTGACAGAGCCTGCAGGGAGCGGTATAACAAGAGAGATACATGAGTGTGAACACATGTGCATCAGCCAACGAGGGTGTCGCACCGAAACTAGCGGTGTAGCATGCTATGCACAACTCCTACACAGTACAGCTTCGAGTTGCAAAAGCACCACTAGGGCTACATGATCACTGACCTACCCAGAACACTGGGCATGTCTCAACAACTTGGTAATGTGGTAGAAAAGCAAGGCAAGGAAAACAAGTCACCTACACCCAGGACAGCTCTTTCTTGAGCTGCCTTGGGTGGGATTCGAACCCACGACACTCTGCAGTCTAGGCGAGCACTCTACCAACTGAGCTACCAGGGCAACTCAGCTGGTAGGGGTTCAAATCTACAACACAACACAACACAAGGCAAACCTCAAACCACTGTGCTATATATGGCACAGTATACTCTCACTCAGTATGTATGTAAGTTAGAGAGAGTGACGGTCTGCGGTGACGCACACACACACTACTGGCGCAGAGAGCAGAGATTCAACGTGCAACGCATGGGTATATGACCATGCAACAAAGCTACACATGAAAATTATGTTACGTTACTATTACGTGCAAAAATGTTACGTGGTTCAATACGTTTGAAGTATGCAACTTTGTGTCACGCAACAAAGTTGCATCGTATGATTATATATGATGGTCTCAGGTAAACAGCAATGTATTAGCTCAAAGGCCCACCTCCAGTTGTGTTGCCCTCTCCTTGGTGAGAGCCTCGTATTCATTGGGAAGGACAGTCCGTTGTCTTCTGCCAGGGAGCGAAGGTCAAAGTAGTATTGGGCGTAGGTGCTGGACGCCACGTTGATGTTGAACTGTAGCTGCTCAAGATACACTCTCTCCAGCTCATTCCTGTGGTGGGGAAGAATGTTTACTCACAATTGCAGCAACTGCATGCTTATAGAACCAGCAAATTGCTAGCTGTAGTTGCCATAACGGATAACGCAGCAGGTGGCAGTTATTAAAAGTTACCGCAATCATTAAAACCAGACCGTTGTCTAAGCACATGGGCAAGTAGGACGTATATATAATTATACATATGCAGAACACAGCAGTCTGTCTTGCTTTCAAGTCCAGGAGGCATCTGTTGCTGGTCTATATAATATATAGCAGTGACATGACAGGCTATTAACAAATGGTGTGCCATATAATGGTGTTCCACGCCACCAACCAAGCAATGCAAACTATTTACGGGGAAAATAGTTCCTGCCAAAAGCTACTTGCTAAAAAGGCCAAGTACTAAGGCCACAATAGGTATAATACTCAATAGTAAATGTAAAGAGCTAAGGCTACAGAATGAGCTCACATGTCTTCAACTGAGATGTCTCTGAGGATCTGGCAGTAGTCCACATTCCACACTGTGTGTTATTAGAGGGAACAGAAATCTAATTTGGTGGTGAGTGGATATAATGTAGCCTCAAACACACAGACAAATAGTCCTAGAGAGAGGAGGTGCTTTGTGTAATAACAAAGGCAGCATGAACACAGCCACTAGCTCACAATATTTACGTATGTAGACTATAATAATAATGTCTAATGCAGTGTGAAGAGGATAAAAACGATGAGGATGGAGATCGAGAGAGCCACTTACCAGCCTGGTCATCCCAGACCTTGGAGGCCAGTAGAATGGCTCCCAGTAAAATCCTCTTCCAGTTGCTGGGATGGAGATCTAGGTCTGCATAGTGCAGCACTCTCTCCAGGTAGATCTATAGGGTCAGGAGAGGGGGGTGGGGAGGTGGGGAAAGAGGGGTGGGGAGGAGGAGGAGAAGAGGGAGGGAGGGAGGTGGGGGAAGGAGTGATGGGTGATAAAGGAGAAGAAGAGGGAAAGAAAGGAAGGAAGGATGGAGGGAGGGAAGGAGAGAAGTGGGGAAAGGAGGGGATGGGGAAGAAAGGAACAGAAGAGGGAAAGGAGGGAGGGAGTGAGGTAGAAGGGGGGGAGGTGGAAGAAGAGAGATGGGGGATGAGAGGAAATTGACGAAGGAAGAGAGAGAAGGGGAAGGGAAGAGCAACAATCAAGGAGAATGAAAGGAGGGGCAGAGGGAGATGGGAAGATAAGTGGGAGGAAGAGGGTGAGAGAGAGAAGGGTAATGAGAAACAGGGATGAGAAGGAAAAGCTACTAATTGAGGGCAACAGGGAGTTATTTACACTAAAGAGATAATGAGCAGACAGTCCGCAACTTGGTTGAAATCCAATATTATTGCAAATGATAGCTCCTCTATCTCATCTCTGCCAAGTGTACAAACATGGTGTGGTTTATAGTCCAGCATGTGTGCATCAGAAAGCCTGGGAATTAGTCATGCAGTACGAGTCAAAGCAGTAGTGTGAACGGTAGTGCAGTGACACTGCTCTATAATGAACTAAAGTCTATAATGAAAAGCACTAAAGTGCAAACCCTCGGCGCAGTAGAAACGTGCGCACGTACAGTATACATATGCCTTGTACTGCTAATTGATGGGCTGGGCTATATTACAGTATACATATGCCTTGTACTGCTAATTGATGGGCTGGGCTATATTACAGTACTGTAACTCTCGCTGCATAAATACTTGACAGTACAATAAACTTCGCCATACATAACTGTGGCAGAACCAATAATGTTGTGTCAATTAAATAGTTAACGCACATTGTGGCATCACCCACGTGTGTAAATTTACGGTTACTTAGCCACTAAAATCTAAAGCCAATTTGCCACCAATGTTACACTTCACATGTACTGTATAAATGTATAAAGCAGCACTTACAAGTGTTATGATGGCACATTCAGCCGTGAGCTGGGGATACAAACAGAGCAATTACAAATTGCACATTGCAGTCAAATATATACGTACCTGTGCAGCATGAAACAGTGTCTTTATAAACTTGTATATTATCTTGTGGTCTGGTGTGTAGTCGGCATAATGAGGAGGAACTTCCTCACGCTAGAGATGGAGAGGGAAGGGAAGAGAGGGGTGAAGAGGGAGGAGAGGAGAAGGGAGGAGAGGAGTGAAGAGGGAGGAGAGGAGAAGGAAGAGAGGGGTGAAGAGGGAGGAGAGGGGAAGGGAGAGAGGAGTGAAGAGGGAGGAGAGGGGAAGGGAGAGAGGAGTGAAGAGGAGGAGAGGAGAAGGAAGAGAGGAGTGAAGAGGGAGGAGAGGGGAAGGGAGAGAGGAGTGAAGAGGGAGGAGAGGAGAAGGAAGAGAGGGGTGAAGAGGGAGGAGAGGGGAAGGGAGAGAGGAGTGAAGAGGAGGAGAGGAGAAGGAAGAGAGGAGTGAAGAGGGAGGAGAGGAGAAGGGAGAGAGGAGTGAAGAGGGAGGAGAGGGGAAGGGAGAGAGGAGTGAAGAGGAGGAGAGGAGAAGGAAGAGAGGAGTGAAGAGGGAGGAGAGGGGAAGGAAGAGAGGGGTGAAGAGGGAGGAGAGGAGAAGGAAGAGAGGGGTGAAGAGGGAGGAGAGGAGAAGGAAGAGAGGGGTGAAGAGGGAGGAGAGGAGAAGGAAGAGAGGGGTGAAGAGGGAGGAGAGGAGAAGGGAGGAGAGGGGTGAAGAGGGAGGAGAGGAGAAGGAAGAGAGGGGTGAAGAGGGAGGAGAGGGGAAGGGAGAGAGGGGTGAAGAGGGAGGAGAGGAGAAGGAAGAGAGGAGTGAAGAGGGAGGAGAGGAGAAGGGAGAGAGGAGTGAAGAGGGAGGAGAGGAGAAGGGAGAAAGGGGTAAAGAGGGAGGAAGAGAGGGAAGGGAAAAGAGAGAGAGGGGGGGACAAGGAAGGAGGGAAGAGAACGCAGAAGGAAAAGAAAATAGAACAGGACGGCAGGTGTATAGGAAAAGGAGGACATCAAAATTAATAGCAGACTCACTGTAAGTGGGTGCTCTTTCTCGTCAAATATTAGCAGTGTTCTTGGGGGTCGGGTCCTATCCCTGTACAACCAGAAAAGATTGTGATCATGTTCACTTCAATATTTTTGTTTCAATCCTGTGTATAGCTTCATTCACTCTTATACCACCATAGCTATACACCTACATACTTGTATCTATAGACACTGACCTATTCTTTATGTGATAAAAGACAGCCAGTGATACACTGAAGGAAAGAAACACAGCAACAGTCAACTTTTAAAAGTGGCAGTATTATTAGGAAGTGCAGTGTATTGGTTTTCACCAGTTTGGAGATAAGACATTTACGAACAAATTTCACAATCTTAAAAATGCGCAAATCACACAGTAAGCGAGCAAGAGTGAGTGGTATAAATGACTCTCCGTCCAAAGTTATGGCGAAGTTTATTGTACTGTCAAGTATTTATGCAGCGAGAGTTACAGTACTGTAATATAGCCCAGCCCATCAATTAGCAGTACAAGGCATATGTATACTGTACGTGCGCACGTTTCTAGTGTGCCGAGGGTTTGCACTTTAGTTCGTTATAGAGCAGTGTCACTGCACTGCCGTTCACACTACTGCTTTGACTCGTACTGCATGACTAATTCCCAGGCTTTCTGATGTACACATGCTGGACTATAAACCACACCATGTTTGTACACTTGGTAGAGATGAGATAGAGAAACTATCATTTGCAATAATATTGGATTTCAACTAATTTGCAGACTGTCTGCTCATTATCTCTTTAGTGTAAATAACTCCCTGCTGCCCTCAATTAGTAGCTTTTCCTTCTCATCCCTGTTTCTCCCCCTTCTCTCTCTCACCCTCTTCCACCGCGCTAAACTCCCTCATCTAAAGAGTGATTCTTCTACTTGAGGATTAATTCCAAGCTTTGTGCTACTGCATGCTCACACCAATTGCTCGCTAAAATCCTACCAGCACACATACCAACATGGATCTGCACCTTTGCTTCAGAATTGTATTTCCAAAATGCTGCTCAAAATGTATAGTCGGCCCATTCTACGGGAGCGCAGACTCGCCACCACAGGAGGGGTATAAGGGTGGTACCGGTTGGAGCGATGCTGGGAGGGGGCCCGGCTCCTAGTGGACGTCGTCCGGCCACGCGGGGGCCGCTTGCCGATTGGGGCAGAAGATATGTGCTAGACGCGTTCGTATGATTTTGGCAGTTTTTTTTGCTTGGATAGTTAGAACGTACTACATAGGTATACAGTGGAACCTCCAAACAAGGGACACTATGGGGCCAACGTTTTTGTCCCTTGTAGAGAGGTTGTCCCTATGTATAATCTCAGAGGTCAAGTATTAGCATGCATGGGGTTGAAACAAGAGTCCTTTGTAGAGAGGTCGTCCCCTATCTCGGAGGGTCCCTTATCGGATGTTCCACTGTATACAGTATATAGAGTAGTATGATGAATGTCATGTACCATTTTAGTGTATACTTGAGGTTGGGTAGACTGACTGTACTGTCGTCGGTATAAATTGTGGAGCAAGAGTTTGCCTTCTGAATGGTGACGGGGGAGGAGCCACGAGACGGGTGGGAGAGACGAGCACTGCTGTGTCTCTGTCGCTCAGAACCCGACCGCGTGTTACCTCGAGGGTGAGGGGTGGGGGAGGGAAGAGGAGGAGGGAGGGAGAGGGGGAGGGAGAGGGGGAGAAAGGAAAGAAGGAATAGAGAGAGAGAGGGAGTGAGGAGGGAGAGAGGGATAGTGGGGGTGGGAGTGGGAGGGAATGAGAGAGGGAGAAGGAAAGGTGAGGGAGAGGAGGATAGGGAGGGAAGAAAGAAGAGAAGGAGAGGGGAAATGGGTTTAGGGAAGTTAAGACGAAATCATTGGAGTTGCATTGGCAGGAAACAAAATCAGCAGGTAAAGCACCTCATCAGTTTTACTGTATGTAAAATTGGACGCACAGTACAAACTATAGACATGCATGTGACTGTCACATGATATTGCGTGGTCAAATCTCACCTCCAGCTCCGTTTGCCATCATTTTCCTAGCCTCCTTGGCCTTGTGTAGGAACATGGTTCCAACCTGATTGGTCAAATCTGAAAGAGAACACAAATCAGCATTACATCACCTCTCGTTATTTCGACCTTCTCGGGGCAGACGGCTCATAGGATATGTTTAGACAACAGACAATTCGAGCAGGACATTGCGTAATGCTCGAGACACTCTAAACGGGAATTTGTGTTTCCCAACTTATGCCCACATTCTTTAGCTTGCTTCCTTCAGGTTTGTGGGTTAAGGGGTAAACAAAGACACTAACATACTGTGCTCAGAGGAGGTTGCGCACAATCAAGCTGCGAAAGGAAGTGGCTCTGGCTGGTGTTCAGGCGGGCCAAGACCTTGCTATCTCTCGATTGTTTATACGTCCAAGTGTGTACCACGGAGAACACACGTAGCCTTGCAAACGCCAAAGTGTGCCGTTCTGCAGAAAGTGCTGACTCAGTGGGGTGACTGGGTTGCGTGGGCGAACATACGTCTCTAAAGCGTACGTGATGCAAGCGATGACGCGTGCACGACCTCCTCTGATACTGTGATAAACAGTGTGTTGACATTGCAGGTGCTAGGTAGCATATTGAAACTGCTTTTCTATACACTCACATTACCACCGGTGCAGAGTATAGTACACTACACATAACACACAGAATGTAACTACTATATTATTCATAGCTAGGCTCTCCTGGTCCCAGGGGAAGGCCAAAACGTACGTATGATGCATCACAAACATATGTGTGGCATAAGATCTTTATATACTCATGTATGAAGATCACAGGGAGGAGAACATAATACGGTTATATACCATATGTATACTTGATTATGGTGAAATAAGATCTTTGAAGAGGGTGTGTGAACTAAGGGGTGATCAAGTGTTGGACACTAAAATGCTATGTCTAGGAGACTACAGTCAGTTCTTGCGCAACTGTGCATAGTGTGTGTGTTCCGGTAAATATCGCGGCTTTCACAAATTTGGATTGCCTTGTTTTAAGAGGCAAACACTGACGCACAAAAACATGTTCTCTGGCTAGTGTGTGAATGTCAATGTAAAAGGTCATGTCAACTTAGAGTGATTAGAAATGTGGCACTCACAAACAAACTATATAGTATTTATGTAGTACAGGTCATGTCAACTAATAGCAATTACAGCTCTCAATTTCCCCTCAACAAACAAACTTCCATTTCCTCTCTGTGGCTACAAATCCACCACACCCACCCACCTTCTCTGTCAGCCATATGTACGACAGTATCGGGAGACCTCACGACAACGACAGAGTCCGTGGCATCCTCACCACCACCACCAAGACCAGCTGCACCTGCGGCAGAGTATGGTGCCGCACTCGACTGTTGCCGTGGCCCCGTTGCCACGGCGATCGAGCTTGCCCCACCCAGCTGGGGGGACGAGCTACCAAACGCGGAGTGGGGAGGAGGGAGGGAGTGATCGGGTGTGAACGGGTGGTCCGTGGTAGGTGATCCAGTGCAACAGTTGCCCATACTTTACGTTCGACGAGGTTTGTTAGCACACACAAGTTTCAGTTGTTCATGTATAGCTGGATGGCTGGTAGACAAACAACTACGATTCCATGTAATAGTTGGGATATCCACGCTCTTCACCGAAAGTTCTTCTTATTTATGGTATATGCTAGGGGAGAATGTGTCCTTGTAGTAGCCACAGCACAGCAGAGGCGTGAATCACACGCAGGTTGTGTTGACAGTTGAAGAGCTCATGTATTGGCTGTGGAGAAACGCAGCCCCCTTCTTACGTAGTATAGACACCACCCCACTTTCAGGATCTGTGAGGAAGAAATACACACACATACGTACAGCACCGTAATCCTAACCCTATCATTACACAGATGTGCACAAGTGATGTCTACACGACGTACCTTGACCACACACACACACACACACACACACACACACACACACACACACAGGTAGTATGTACGTGCAGACACACGTACACTCACACACCGTGAAGAAGTAAATAGATAAAAAGAGGCAATCCATAAATTAAAGATTTTATGTATATACCATACACCCTATAACCCTAATATCCCATCTTAGACACGGGGAAATCCCGAACCCACAAACGATCACTTAGCTACCATGTGTGTGCCCATCCCACAGTAGCAGTGAAGTGGGATGTGAAAGCACCCCATAAGTAGAGGTTTGGGGAACATGCCCCCGGTTTGGCCGTGCGGCCAGCTGCGTGGTAATGTTGTTAGACCTGCCAATCACCTGCTGCTCCTTTGGTGGCAGCTGTGAACACTGAGCTAGTCTCACTTCCTAGTTTAGCCCCAGTCTCTCCCTCCCTCATCGTAACCAGGCACACGGACATCAAGAATTAGTTAAAGTTTGTTAGTATGTAGCCACTTCTTATTTGTAGCCTACACCATGCCTGGTCATCAAGACAATTGACTGTTTTCCGGGTAATAGCACCCTTTATGATTTTTCCCCTGATACACCCTCATACCAACAAACACAACACACACTGCAATCCTTTCTTGCAATATGAAAACAGTCTCTGTGTGATTCTCCCTGTTGTATGGGGTTTGAGCCCTAGGGTTGCGCATGGTTTCGCCAAGCTCTGCAAAATTCAACATCAAAGGTCAACTGCATGATTGGCATAGGCTATTATTATCCCCAGAGTGAAGAGCCCAGCGTTCTGCACCGCGTGTGCTACGCTGGTCGTGCACTATACAAACATACTGCAGGCAGTAAGACAGCCTTCTTCTCAACTCTCTCTCAACCTAGCCACACCCTCCCGTCTTGTAGGCCTACGGCACTGTAGCTAGACCTTGGCTTTACTACACCTCGTACACCATTCCAAGCAGCATGTACACACACACACCCTGTCAGAGTGGGTGCGGGTTGTCTTGCTGGCTAAACACACGCGACTGCTGACACCATATAAACTCTCCCTCCCTCCCCCACCCACCGATCTCGGATCGACGGGCAACACCAACTATACTGAGGCTCACCTCGCCCAGCGTTCTCCCGATGCACCGGTAGGGGTTACTGGAGAAGCGCCGCTTTCTCCTTCAAACAGAAAGTAGCCCAGAGCTCTCCAAAATCGATACTGGAGCTAGCTACGAAGCCATCCATAAGACGATGTTTTTGTTGACGTGGGCGGCGCAGCGCTCACGCATGCGCGATATATAATAATCGTCATCATATCCGCGCATGCGCTCAAAAAGTAGGCGGGGTCTCCATGCTGTCGCCGTTCTTCATACTGTGCGTGCAGTGCAGCAGACCTGCATTCAGTTACTTCTGATTCCAGTGATATTGTCAGTTGATTGACAAGCACGGCAGCATGGCAGGGAGGAGCAACGCAGAAATGGAAGAATTCTGGTCGTCTCTACCACCCAAAATCAAGGTATATACGACACAGCATTTACTGGATTTGCTGTAAACTACGCCAGTCACAACTGAACCGTGAACTAGCGCCAAGCCTCGTTGAACTTCAGGGGTCCGTAACAGTTGCGACAATGACACACGTTCCTATACGTCTTGAATGGCTAGATAATGTGAACAACGTCAGGTGGTGCCATAAAACTTGGTGCTCAAACAGCTGGTACACAGCTAAACATCAGTGTTTCTGAACATATCGGTCCGTGTGTTCCTGTATTCACACACACGCTGTATGCTGCCACCTAAATGAAAGCTGCTATAGCTATGCTATAGCTATTTGCCCATTGCTCCATTGCTGTCATCAATGTGACCTCTGCTGTGCAAACATAGGCAGAAAAGTAGTGGAACTTCCACAATGCGGGGTTTGGTTTGTGCGTGTGTGTAATGGGGAGATGCGGCAATGTTGCAGGTGCTCATGTACAGAAGAAGGGAGATCTGGGGAAAACATCTGTTGTTAGGTCGGCTGCTAGCCAACTTCTAACTACTGTATCCTCCAGTTGTACAGTACACCTGCATAGATATGGTGTATGACCTAAATGCACAACGTTGGCCATATACAAATGTCTAGACACGAGGTTTGAGTGGTAGCATGGAAACTGTGTGCCTGAGTTTCCAGATGGGAGTGTAAGTTTGGTTTGGCAGGTGCAGCATTGTACGGTTATTTCCCCCTCTTTAGTGGTTGCAGTGCATACCAGAGTCCTGTTGGAATGGAGGATTCCGTTCCCTGGTTTCCATTCTGAGGTTGTGTATAGGTGCAGTTGCTCAGTACCCAGTAGTGCTCCCGGTTTCACAATCTATGCACCCTTCAAATTAGCAAACCGTAACCATTTTTAGGTATGATAAAATCAGAAACTCACACAACTAATTAAAACACTAGCCATAGATTTCTTATTACGTCACATTAAAGTTATACGAAATGCTTTCTGCAGTTTTTGCATGCCCATACACCAGCAAGGTGGACGAATCCAGAATGTATGCGTGCGGCAACAGAATGTATGTGTGGCAGCTCTTGAAAAAGTGTTGTGCTACAGATGTAGTAGTGTGGTTTGATATGCACTTGCATTGATGTTACACTTAATTCATGTACACACACTCTGTAGTGTTGTTTACGAGTCACGGGGGGAGTCAGTGGGGAACCGTCCGTCGCTTAGCGGAATGTTGAATGTTTTACAGTCTGTTGTGTGTACACACACAGAGATTCTCCTACCTTTCCAGTTTACGCCCGTTATTTTTCACTCTGAGCCTGAAAAATATGTACGTACATACTGTAGTTGGGAATAGGTTTGGGCTGCAAGAAATGCACACCCAAGGCTGTTGTGCTGTCTCTTTCAATGCCATCCACGGTTTACCCTCAGTTTCTGTCAGCAGAGCGCTCTAGAGTATGTGCGGTTTTTTAATGCCACCAGCTACTGTGATTGGATGACATAAACTCTATGTAATAATGATGATGAGTATGCTATAATTACATGTGGCGGACACTGTACATTAATGTTTTGGGTGTCAGTTGGTAGGTTGGTACTTGGTGTACTATTTCAGTGTAGCATGTCTTGGGGCAGTGTGAATTAATCACCAATTTATTAGGTTGTGGCAGCTACATATACACTATGAACCTTGTGCGGTGTAATTTGATATGCTGGGACATGTACAATAATTACACAATGTCCTTTCTCTTAATTGGCGAGCGGGAGTGAGCTAACCTAGTGGTCCAAACGGCGCGATTTTTCTATTTATTTATTTATTTATTTATATACGACTGCATACGTCGTGTAAGTGCGCATGCGCGGCTTCGTTATGTGCTTCTTTTCATCTGAAATCATTTCCAATTTTTTTCACATGTGCTACCTGCGCATGCGTCAGGATAACGCGCTTTTACACGCTGCTATGATGGCTCGTGCAGATACAGTCATTGTGTGCTCGCTCCCGCTTGCCAAAAATAGCCCTGCATTCACCAACAAGCCCGAAACAGCTGTCCAGAGCTCCCATCTTTTTTCTCTTGGCATCACATGGTGTATTTTGTTCATGTACAGTACACCATATTGTGGGAAAATGTGAGAGAGTTCACCCCGTGAAAATGTGAGAGAGTTCACCCCGTGAAAATGCAAGAGTTTTCACGTGAGTATAATACTACTTCACTTGGAGTTCTGTTCACCTCTGAGCTCCAGCACAACTCACTACTCTACACAATGCGACTCTCTACAGGCACAGGCTCTTTGTTTTTGTGAACACTGTGTGTTTTCAGCACGCATCGTCTGCGATCAATGTAGTAGCCAACCTTTTTAGTGTGAAGTCCGCGTATAAAAGGGGCTGTACCGGTACGGACAATTTATTTTTTGACGGTTTTTTAGTTTGCCCGACAAAGACACACTAACAAAATGGCGGCTAAAGCAAACCACAGCTGCTACATGCTACACTCCTTAAGCGTCTACAAGCGAGAGGTACGGTCTAAATCTATCGCCCATTATGAAACATGACCCAAGGAAGCTGGCATCTTTAAGCCTGGTTTGCATAGTACTTCGCAGTAGACTGTGACACAAAAAACAAAGTCGCAGAAATATATTTCTTCGACGTAGGACTGTGTCGCTGCAGGGGATAGAGTGGTCTGTTCTCCCAGCTACAGTGCAATGACTCCAGCAGCGTGTACTGTATGTTACGTATGCAGCGGGTTTGCATTCAGAGACCCCCCTAGATCTACAGTTCCTGGTAACCCACCCTTGTTGTAAACATATATGGTGTGTGCTGTGAGTTGTACATCGAAATCCACTCACTTTCTATACCCAATCAGTTTACAGTGTGCACTCCGTGTTGTAAGGGGCGAATATGCTCTGTTGGAATGTGAAACTCTAAAGCGTATTTTGTCAAAAACTGCAAGTTTTGTGTAGCCAAAAGACCTTTTGGAGGGAGAAATAGAGATTAAAAGGTAATAACCAAAGTTGAAAAGGGTTGTATGTATGTATGTGTGTATCATAATGTATGGGGTGTGTGTGTGTTGAAATGGAAAGATATACATGTGAGTTCATAAAAATTGAAGCAGTAATGCACTAGTCTTTCACTGTAGTTGTGTACCTGCCTGCCTGACCTCGTTGATGCCCCAGTTACAGTTTTATCACTTGCTGTTTTTGCAACCGCCACCTCCTCCTTCCAAATTCACTACTGGCTCTGGGGGCAAGATGTTGACCCTACCTCCCTCTCCCCCAGTGGCAAAATATTCTCGGCCTCCCGTTTACAAATTGACGCTCCTTAGCTCTGCCAGCTCTGTTTGTATGGTTCACCTGTGGACACACAATAGGAGAGTGTACACACAAATAGGACAGTGTAACTACACAGCAATAGAGAATAGGAAAGTGTGTATGAAGACTAGACTGCAGAGTGTCGTGGGTTCGAATCCCACCCAGGGCAGCTCTTCTTCTAAAGAAAGAGCTGTCCTGGGTGTAGTTGACTTGTTTGCCTTGCCTTGCCTTTCTACCTCGTTACCAAGTAGTTCAGACATGCATATACTCGGTTTGGAGTTGGGTGTCTTTGGTGGTTTAATTACCCCGGTCTGCTCCTACATACTGAGTGAGAGTTTACTGTGCCATAACACAGTGGTTCGAGGTTTGCCTTTGTGTTGTAGATTTGAACCCCGACCAGCTGAGTTGTCCTGGTAGCTCAGAGCGCTAGCCTAGACTGCAGTGTTCAAATCCCACCCAGGGCAGCTCTTCTTAAAAGAAAGAGCTGTCCTGGGTGTCGTTGCCTTGCCTTGCCTTTCTACCTCGTTACCAAGTAATTGAGACATACAAATAGGCAAGTGTAACTACATATACATAGCAATAAATAACAGGAAAGTGTGTGTAATTATAATGTGATACATATAGGGAAAAGAGAGTGGGGGGAGGGTGTAAACTGTTCCACCCCGTGTGTCTGCCTCTGAACAAATCTTCCACCTCTTCTTTACAAATTACACCTCCTCTGCTACCTCCTCCCTCTTCTACCACCCTCTTCCCTGTACTCTCCAATACATCACCTCCTCTTGCTACTAATCAGCCCGCCCTCTCAGTTAGAGTCAAGAGTTGTCCCTATTGGTTTGTTTGTCTGACAACAGTAATATAGGGCTCTGTAGGTGTGTTTTATGGGGCATTGTGTCTGCCAGACCTTCCATGAGATGGTGTATGTCTACTCAACATACTTTTGTATGCCCAGCTAGTGTATTGTAGACATGCACGTAAGGTTGATTTCGAAAAGGAGCCAGGTTGACCTGTATTCATGAGGTGGTGGGATCAATCTTCAACTGTAGGTCCCTGATTTCTCCGCCAACTTTCTCCATCCTTAGCAGACTAAGACGTCACACTCACTGTGATGATGATTTAGCTGAGGGATTTGTTGGTCGAATTCAGTAATTGAGTAAAGCCTGTGTTGTAAATTGATGTTTATGCATAGCATCGGATTTGTGTTACTCAATACTCTTCACTCTGTATGGTGTACTCAATTGAGTTGGCTCTTTTTTCAAATCGGCCACATGCTGTAGTTCACTTCGGTGATTTAAATAACTGATGCTTCCCTAAAAGGCACAGTATAGACACCTTGTTGCACCAAGAAGAAGTAGCTGCTGTAGGTGGTTGTTTGAATGCATACCACTCTGCATCTCTGGACACTGCACGTAGCAGTATACGCATGTAAACAGAACCAATACAGGTCGCAAGGCAATGGCAACAACACAACTCCATACATTGGGAAGCACATACATTTT